CGGAGCACTTGGCGGAGCTGCACCAGGTCGGCGCCCGCCCTGCGGTCAACCGCACCAGGTCGGCGCCCGCCCTGCGGTCAACCGGGTGGAGTTCCACCTCGGCTACCTGTAACGACACCCTCCTGGCCGCATCCCAGGCGCTGGGCGTGACCCTCTCAGCCTGGGGCTCCCTGTCGGGCCCCACCACGGGCCGCAATCCAGGGGCATCCCTGAGCGACCCGCGCTTGCAGAGCATCGCGAAGCGCTGCAGCGTCTCCACGGCGAAGCTGGCGCTACGCTGGCTGGCATCCGAGGGCGTCCTGCCGGTCACAACCACGTGCAGCCGCCAGCACGCGGTGGACGACCTCGCGAACGCGTCTTTCGAGCTGTCTGCGGAGGACGAACACAAAAACAAAAAACAACAAACAAAAAGAAAAAAAAAAAACGCGCTGCGCGCGCCGAGACGCCCCGCGCAGCTGGTCATCCTCGCGTAGCCCGGCCCCAGGCCCTCGGCTCCCCGGAGTGGCGCGCCGCCTGCTCGCGGCCTTGGCCGCGGCCGTCGGCGGCGGCCCTTTCGAGGAGCCCAGCGGGGAAGATCACTGCCACGTCTGCGGCGCGATCCTCCGACCCCGCTTGCTCGGGCCCCATCTGGGCGGCCTCTATCAGCTGACGCTTCAGCGGGCGCGGACAGCCCTGCAGACTGGTGGCCTCCTCCTCCCTCCTCCTCGTCCTCGTCGTCCTCCTCCTCGTCCTCCCTATCCTCCTCCTCGTCCTCGTCCTCCTCCTTCTCCTCCTCCTCCTCGTCGTCCTCGCCTCGGGCTCCGCCCCACAGGGCATTGTAGCCCCCTGCCGCTCGAACCTGGCACCCCTGGCTCCGTCCTGATGCGGATTCGGCGAGCCTCACTTCGTGGCTATGGAACGACACCCCCTGGGCAAACGCGAGGCCGATCCGACATCGTCAGAAGATGAGAGATAGGATGTGAGAGGGAGGGAGTGAGATATACATATATATATATATATACATATAAAGGAGAGAGAGAGAGAGAGAGAGAGAAAGAAAGAAAGAGAGATAACAAGAGAGAGAGAGAGACAGCTAGAGAACAAGACAATAGGTGTATATATATAGAGAGAGAGCGAGAACAAACAAAACAAGAAGAGATAGAGAGAGGGAGACGTTGTATACTAGATTGCCTTGCTGAGGCACAGAACTTCGTTCGACATGTGCTTATACAAAGCCCTGGAAGTCCGTTTGGTGTCGAAGCCGGGCCCTTGATCAAGTCCTCTGGTCCTCAGGGGCATCAAGTCTGGACCTGTCACTGTCGAGCTTATAAAATGGTATGGAATGTAGCTGGCTAGCTCTTGGGTTAGAGTTTAAAGTTTCAGGCACTTGCAAGTGTGCAGGAAAGCGCCTACGCTGCGCGATGCTCGAAAGCGACTGACCTGGACCGATGTTATCCTCCACGGTGGACCACTTTCCCCGTTCCTACAGGTGGGGCCCTGAAGAAGGAACCCTTTTCGTTGGGGAGGGGCTCCGCGTTCCTTAAGTGTTTCACAGCTTGCCTCAGGCTTTCCTGATGTCTTCGACCGGAAATCGAAGCTTAACATGTGGAAAACAGGGGCCTCGTTCCTTATTTAGGGTTCCCGAGGTCAACGCCCCGACTGTACCCCTCCGCATCCCGACCATTCCCAGCCGATCGACCTCCCCAAGCTGTTCCACAGTGCCCCCTCCGACGCTGGCTCCGCGACGCTTACCGTGCCTCGAGGTTCCGCTTCCAATTGGGGGAGGAGTCGAGGATGACCCTTAGATTGCACCATCGCAAAAAATCACGACCGGAGCCCTGCACCCCATCGTTCTGCGTCATTGTTCGAGCCGGATCGATTTGTGAGGGCCCCGGGGCCCGAGATGGAGCGACAACGCCCCTAGCGAAGACATTGCAGTTCCAGGATCTCAGGGAGGAGGCAGGGGAGGAGAAGTGAAAGGAGTTGTCGTCGTCCTCTTCCTCCTCCCCCGCACCGTTGAGCTCCTCCTCATTCTTCTCAACGCTCCCCTTCTCCCTGACTGCAGGGCTAGGTTTTTTGTTGGGCCACGTGGGCAGCCACCTCATAAGCTGTGCCTCTGGATCAGAATTTGTTGAACTTGTTTCAAGGGGGCTCAAAGATTTTTCTCCCTTTCATTCAGAAGGAGAAGAATAAAGAGGAGGAGGAGGACGGGGAGGAGGAGGACGGTGGAGCAAGAAGAAGAGGGCAAAGGGAGGAGATGGGCGTGACGGGGGGGGGGGACTCAATGTGTGAGTTGTTCGTCGCACGACCTTTAGTCTATTGTCCCCCCATCTCTGCTGCGTCTACCAAGTCTACAGGGGGATTTGAAGAAGTACCGATTTAGTGGGCACGGGGCCGTTCGACAGGGGAGCATGCATCAATGGTCCACGAAGCATGCATTGGGGAGGAGGAGGAGGTGGAGGAGGAGGAGGAGGAGGAGAATTAGAAGGATGAGGAGGAGGAGGAGGAGGAAAAGGAGGAAGAGAAGGAGGAGGAGGAGGGGGTGGAGGAGGAGGAGGAGGAGGAAGAGGAGGAGGAGGAGGAGGAGGGTGGTGGGTGGAGGAGGAGGAGGAGGAGGAGGAGGAGGAGGAGGAGGAATGAGGAATGGAGAATGGAGGAATGGAGGAATGGGAAAAATGAAAGAATGGAAGGAGAAGGAAAGGAGGAGGAGGTGGAGGAGGAGGAGGAGAGGATGAGAAGGATGATGAGGAGGAGGAGGAGGAGGCGGAGAGGAAAAAGGAGGAAGAGAAGGAGGAGGAGGAGGAGGAGGAGGAGGAGGAGGGGGTGTGGTGGAGGAGAAGGAGGGAGGAGGAGGAGGAGGAGGAGGAGGAGGAGGAGAGGAGGGGGGAGGGAGGGAGGCGGAGGAGGGGGAGGAGGAGGGGGAGGAGGAGGAGGAGGCGGAGGAGGAGGCGGAGGAGGAGGAGGAGGAGGAAGAGGAGGAGGAGGAGGAGGAGGAGGAGGAATAGGAGGGGAGGAGGAGGAGGAGGAGGAGCAGGAGGAGGAGGAGCAGGAGGGGGTGGAGGGGGATCTCATCCCCCGAGACCCCAGATTTATCCCGATCCGATGTTGCCCCGACCTTGGCTTCGTTGTAGCAACGTGGTGCCACGTGCTCCTCTCCGTGCTCTTCTGCACCCGCGTTTCTGCGCCCGCTTTTCATCCTCCCTCCTCTCTGTCTTCGGGAGACAAACAACGACATCGACACGACCTCTTGGAGCTGCGCGCAGATTTCTCGGATCGGTGCTGGAGTCCCGTCCCTGGCGCGCGGGACGTGCCAGGGGCGGCGCCGCCAGGATCCCCGGCGCCGGTCCGAGGAGCCACCACCTTCGCTTCGCTCTGCTCATCCATCACCTTCGCTCTGCTCCTCCATCATGTTTATATGCAGCGCTCTGCTCCTCCATCATCTTCGCTTCGCTCTTCTCTCTCTCTCGCTCTCTTCTCCTCTGCTGCTGCTCTCTCTCTTTCTCTCTTTCTCTGTCTTGCCCACCCGCTATCCCGCCGAGGGAGCTCCAGAAGTGCATGCTTATGTGCAGCGCTCTGCTCCTCCGTCGTCTTCGCTCCGCTCCTCCCTCCCTCTCTCTCTCTCGCTCGCTCGCTTCTCCTCTGCTGCTCCCTCGCTCTCTCTCTCTCTCTCGCCCGCTCGCTTCTCCTCTCGCTCGCTCCCTCTCTCTCTCGCTCCCTCCCTCCCTCTCTCTCTCTCTCTCTCCAGACCCCCGACGTCGTGGTTTCTTCACAGCGTCGACCCCCAGAGGTCTGGACCCCTTCCCCGGGACCGGCCCTGCGCCCCGAGGCGTTCCCCGAGGGCCCGCGAGGGCCCCCATGAGGCCGCACACTTACGTAGGGGAACCCTCCCGTCGCGATACGTCTTCACGGCGCGAGGGGCTCCGGGCACCTCTCTCCCCAGACCCCCTCGAGTAATGAAAAAATCATGACGGGAGGTTTTTCGCTCTTTTCGGCCTCTGGGGGCCCTCACCGGGCTTCGGGAGCGTGAAAAAACGACTCAGGATGACAAACCGGTCCTGGGGAAGGGGTCGGGACCTCTGGGGGTCGCGTCATGAAAAAATCATGACGTCGGGGGTCTGGGTCTCTCTCTCTCTCTCTCTCTCGCTGTCTCTCTCGCTGTCTCTCAGGACACAATTCATCGTCGATCCCCCAGAAAAGATGGGAAAATAGGGGAAGTGGGGGGGGGGAGACAGGAGCCCCGAACACGTGGGGAACTATGGGGAATGCTTTCACTTGTGTGTATTTATCTGTGTGTCCTGGGGCCCCTTCAGTCTCGCCCGCCCGCTGCCCCGCCGAGGAGGAGGAGGAGGAGGAGGAGGAGGAGGAGGAGGAGGAGGAGGAGGAGGAGAGTGGGGAGGAGGAGGCAGGAGGAGGAGGAGGAGGGGAGGAGGAGGAGGGCCCCTTCGTGGGGCCCCTTGTGTGTATTTATCTGTGTGTCCTGGGGGCCCTTCCGTCTCGCCCGCCCGCTGCCCCGCCGAGGCCGCGCGCGGAGGCCGCGCGCACCGCCGCGGGGCTGCCGGCGTTGGTGGCGCGCCGCGTGGCCGCGGGGAGGCCGCCCCGGGCGCGCGCGGCGGGTCGGCAGCGGCGCGGCCACGCGGAGGGTCAGCGAACCCAGACCTCCTCGCGTCGCGAAGAAATCACGGCGGAGGTGTTTCGCTATTTTCGGCCTCCGGGGGCCCTTCCCGGGCCCCGGGGCCCTCAAAAAACGACTCGGGATGAAAAACCCGTCCCGGGGAAGGGGTCGGGACCTCTGGGGGTCGCGTCATGAAAAAATCATGACGTCGGGGGTCTGGGTTTCTGGGGCGACGGAGGAGGAGGCAATGCTCGTAGGGTAAGGGCAAACCTAAGCAGCCCAAGCGTTGGTGAGAGTAGACCTCAGGTCCGAACTTGTCTCGAGTGGGTGTCGTAAGAATTGTTACCGACGGATCAAGCGCGCTGGCTGAGCGTATTGGGACCTGGCCCTGGAAACAACGTTGCCCCCCCAAGCGACCTCCAAGGGAGCAGACCCATCACCTGACTCGAACTTATCCCTATCCCTAAGATTGACACGCCAAACGGCGATGACAATCTTGGGGATGCGCCCTGAAAGACTAGGGGAGTCCCTCAGATTGACATCGCGACGAGGCGATGCCCAGCTTAGGGATAGGGATATGTTCCAGGCTGGTAAACCCAGGCCCCCTCGCGTCGTGGGAAAAGTCACGACGGGAGGTGTTTCGCTATATTTTCGGCCTCGAGGATCTGGGGGCCCTTGTTGGGCCTCGGGGCCGTCAAGACACGACTAAACAGGTCCCGGGGAAGGGGTCCAGACCTTTGGGGGTCGACGCTGCGAAAAAATCACGACGTCCGGAGTGTGGGGACGGGAGGCGCTTCGTTGTCTTCGGCCTCTGGGGGCCCTCGCTGGTCTCGGGACCGTCCCAAAAACGACTCGGAAGGAGAAGCTGGCCCCGGGCATGGGTCGAGACCTCTGAGGGGCGACGTTGTGACGAAGTCACGGCTTTCGATGCCCGGGTGGTCTTTCTCGTGGTCCGTTCGCGTGGGGGCAGAGGCTCGCGCTCGGGCGCAGCCGAGGCTCGGGCCAGACGAAAGGGGGGGCCAGGGAGAGGGGGGTACGAAATCTGCTGCATGCAGCTGGTTTCCGCCCCGCCGCTGGGCACATTCCTTGATACATGGCCGCCTCCTGGCGCCGGAGGGCGCCGGGAAAATCAGCTACGTGAGCTGATTCTCACCCCCCCCTTTGCTGTCCCCCCCTTTCGCCCGACCCGAATGCATTCTGAGGCGGAAATGTCTTCCCTCTTTCTTTTCATCGTTTGGGGTGCATCTTCGACCCATGTTTGACCTGAGCTGATCTTCAAACCCCCCCTTTCGCCCGGCCCGAGGGGCAGGCGTGGGAGGGGGGGCTGGGACACGCGCAGCGCGAGCGTGCACAGGAGCCGCCGACCCCGCCGCGCACTCCTGTGGAGGGGGTGGGATGCGTGCGGCCTTCCTTGTCAGCTCTCATTTTTGTGTGTTGCTTCTCTCGTTTTTTCCAATCATCCTGTGGTGTTGGGTCCTCGTTTTGAAGAGACAACGCCCCGCGTCCCACCTCCTTCCTCCTTCCTCCTCCTCTCCTTCTCCTCCTCCCTCCTCCCCCATCCTTGCCTTTGCTCTCCGCATGTCTCAGCTCACCCCCTCATCATCATCATCATCATCATCATCATCATCATCACCACCACCACCACCATCATCATCATCATAATCATAATCATCATCATCATCATCATCATCATCATCATCATCATCATCATCATCATCATCGTCATCATCATCATCATCATCATCATCATCATCATCATCATCATCAGCATCATCATCATCGTCATCATCATCGTCATCATCGTCATCATCGGCATCGCCATGGCTGATTCGTTTCGTGGCCCCATGGGGAGCTCCACCGAAGGCCCCAGAGGGGGGGGTCGCATGCGTCCCCCACGCTCAGGGCAGCGCTTCGTGGCCCCATAGGGAGCACCACCGAAGGCCCCAGTGGGGAGGGCCGCATGCGGCTCCCACGCCCAGCACAGCGTTTTGTGGCCCCATAGAGAGCTAGACCGAAGGCCCCAGGGGGGGGGGGGGGGGGGGCATGCGTCCCCCACGCTCAGGGCATGGCCCCATAGGGAGCTCCACCGAAGGCCCCAGTGGGGGAGGGGCCGCATGCGTCCCCCACGCACCCAGGACAGCGCTTCGTGGCCCCATAGGGAGCTCCACCGAAGGTCCAAGTGGGGGTGCCCGCATGCGTCCCCCACACACCCAGGACAGCGCTTCGTGGCCCCATAGGGAGCTCCACCGAAGGTTCCAGGTCTACTGTCCGCGTGCGTCCCCCCCCCCAACACAGTACAGCGTTTCGTGGCCCTCCCCTCGTCCCTGCGCTTCACCCTCCCAGTACAGCGCTTCGTGGCCCTATAGGGAGCTCCACCGAAGGTTCCAGGTCTACCGTCCGCATGCGTCCCCTGCACCCAGTACAGCGTTTCGTGGCCCTCCTCCCCCTCCTCCCTGCGTTTCACCCACCCAGTACAGCGTTTCGTGGCCCCAAAGGGAGCTCCACCGAAGGTCCCACTGGCATCGTCCGCATGCGCCGGCCACCGCCCAACACAGCCCTTGCTCCTTGCGTTTCGCCCACCCAGTACAGCGCTTCGTGCCCCATACGAAGCTCCACCGAAGGTCACAGTGGCACCGTCCGCATGCGTCAGCCACCACCCAGCACAGCCCTTGCTCCCTGCGTTTCGCCCACCCAACACAGCGCTTCGTGGCCCCATAGGGAGCTCCACCGAAGGTCCCAGTGGCATCGCCCGCATGCGTCCGCCACCACCCAGCACAGCCCTTGCTCCTTGCGTTTCACCCACCCAGTACAGCGTTTCGTGGCCCCATAGGGAGCTCCACCGAAGGTCTCAGTGGCACCGCCCGAATGCGTCAGCCACCACCCAGCACAGCCCTTGCCCCCTGCGTTTCGCCCACCCGGTACAGCGCTTCGTGGCCCCATAGGGAGCTCCACCGAAGGTCCCAGTGGCACCGCCCGCATGCGTCAGCCACCACCCAGCACAGCCCTTGCTCCCTGCGTTTCACTCACCCAGTACAGCGCTTCGTGGCCACATAGGGAGCACCGAACAAGACATTCATAATTGCGGTGCTCACAACTGCATATGGTTGAGTCCTTCGCCAGGCTAATTGTTTGTTCTCTCTCTTTCTTTTTTTTGATCGTTCTCTCTCTTTCTCTCTCTCTCTCTCTCTCTCTTTCCCTTTCTCTACTCTATCTTTACGTCGGGCCTGTCCCTTTACAGGGGGAATATTTAAACATAGTCAAAAAAAAACGTCAGGGGACTATGTTTGAGTATTTTGGCCATTTGGGGGTATTTCCCAACCCTCCTTGGTTGGGTATTCGTTTTGAATAGAAGGGTGTGGTCGCGTCCTCCTCCCGCCTCCCGCCTCCTGCCCTCTCTTCGCCGTCCCTGGGGGGCTGTGATCTGCGAAACTGTCGCCACTTTCAAGGGCTGCTGGTGGGTCCTGCGGAGTGAGGCACCGCGCGGATCTGAGGTAGACCTCGCCGTCCCTGGGGGGCTGCGATCTGCGGAACTGTCGCCACTTTCGAGGGCTGCTGGTGGGCCCTGCGGAGTGAGGCACCGCGCGGATGTGAGGTAGACCTCGCCGTCCCTGGGGGTTGCGATCTGCGGAATTGCCGCCACTTTCGAGTCCTGGTGGGTCCTGCGGAGTGAGGCACCGCGCGGATCTGAGGTAGACCTCGCCGTCCCTGGGGGGCTGCGATCTGCGAAACTGTCGCCATTTTCGAGGGCTGCTGGTGGGCCCTTCGGAGTGAGGCACCGCGCGGATCTGAGGTAGACCTCGCCGTCCCTGGGGGGCTGCGATCTGCGAAACTGCCGCCATTGTCGATGGGCTGCTGATTGGTCCTGCGGAGTGAGGCGCCGCGCGGATCCGAGGTAGACCTCGCCGTCCCTGGGGGGCTGCGATCTGCGAAACTGCCGCTACTTTCGAGGGCTGCTGGTGGGTCCTGCGGAGTGAGGCACCGCGCGGATCTGAGGTAGACCTCGCCGTCCCTGGGGGGCTGCGATCTGCGAAACTGTCGCCACTTTCGAGGGCTGCTGGTGGGTCCTGCGGAGTGAGGCGCCGCGCGGATCTGAGGTAGACCTCGCCGTCCTTGGGGGGCTGCGATCTGCGAAACTGTCGCCAGTTTCGAAGGGCTGCTGGTGGGTCCTGCGGAGTGAGGCACCGCGCTGACTGAGGTAGACCTCGCCGTCCCTGGGGGGCTGCGATCTGCGGAACTGTCGCCACTTTCGAGGGCTGCTGGTGGGTCCAGCGGAGTGAGGCACTGCGCGGATCTGAGGTAGACTTCGCCGTCCCTGGGGGGCTGCAATCTGCGAAACTGTCGCCAGTTTCGAGGGGTGCTGGTGGGTCCTGCGGAGTGAGGCACCGCGCGGATCTGAGGTAGACTTCGCCGTGGGGGGCTGCGATCTGCGGAGTCGCCACTTTCGAGGGCTGCTGGTGGGTCCTGCGGAGTGAGGCACCGCGCGGATCTGAGGTAGACCTCGCCGTCCCTGGGGGGCTGCGATCTGCGAAACTGTCGCCACTTTCGAGGGCTGCTGGTGGGTCCAGCGGAGTGAGGCTGAGGCATCTGCGATCGCCAGAGTGAGGCACCGCGCGGATCTGAGGTAGACCTCGCCGTCCCTGGGGGATCTGCGGTCGCCACTTTCGCTGACACTCCGCCGGTGCGATCTGCGAAACTGTCGCCACTTTCGAGGGCTGCTGGTGGGTCCTGCGGAGTGAGGCGGCGCGCGCGGATCTGAGGTAGACCTCGCCGTCCCTGGGGGCTGCGATCTGCGAAACTGTCGCCACTTTCGAGGGCTGTTGGTGGGTCCTGCGGAGTGAGGCACCGCGCAGATCTGAGATAGACCTCGCCGTCACTGGGGGGGCTGCGATCTGCGAAACTGTCGCCACTTTCGAGGGCTGCTGGTGGGTCCTGCGGAGTGAGGCACCGCGCTGACCTGAGGTAGACCTCGCCGTCCCTGGGGGGCTGCGATCTGCGAAACTGTCGCCACTTTCGGGGGTTCCTGGTGGGTCCAGCGGAGTGAGGCACCGCGCGGACCTGATCGAGACCTCGCCGTCCCTGGGGGGCTGCGATCTGCGGAACTGTCGCCACGTTCGAGGGCTGCTGATGGGCTCGCCACTTTCGAAGACTGCTGGTGGGTCCAGCGGAGTGAGGCACTGCGCGGACCTGAGCGGGACCTCGCCGTCCCTGGGCGGCCATGTCATGTTGTTGTTGCTGCCCCGCCGACGTTTCAAGCCCCTTGCCCACAGTCTCCTTTTGGACCTTTCGTCTTCCTTAGTGACTCAGGGGTTCACTTAGTTACTCATCGTTTTTCCTCTGATTGGGGACCTGCGAACCTCCCGAATGCCGCTCGCAGAAGTATGTGCGTCCATGCCACGTCGTCGCCTTCTCGTCAAGTCTCCCAAGCTACTCCTGCCCCGCACTGCGCAGGGGTTGGGTACGTCGCCAGGGTATGTTTTGAATATGTTTTACTTATCGCCCAAGATCCCCCTGTAGGAGGACAGGCCCGACTTAACTCTATCTCTTCGTGGGCGTCCGAGGGGGGAGTGATGGCGAGGTGGGAGTGGATAGCTTGGCCGGGGCCGCGGCACCCTCCCGGATTGCCTGGCCCCCGCTTCGGCGTTCAGCACGTCCCCTGGCCCCCCCCCCCCGCCGGGCCACGCACGTGCCTCGGGCAGTGGTGTGCGAGCCCTCCACCTGGACGCCCCCGATCTCGTTGTTGTGGATCGGCTGAGCCGTGTTGGGGGGGGGAGAGGAGATGAGCGGAAGGGGGGGGGGAAGGAGAGATGAGGCCGAGGGGGATGGGCGGGGAGAGAGGGAGGGCGGGCTGGGAAGGAGGGGCTGGGACGAGGGGAGGTGGGGGGCTGGGGGCAGCGAGGCTGGGAAGGAGGGGCTTGGAGGGGAGCGGGGCGAGGGGGCGGAGGGGGGAGGGGGAGGGCGGGAGTGTGCTGCGGAGGGCGGGCGGCGCGCTTCTGTGCAGGGGCCGGCCTTTCCGCTCGCGCCCTCAGAGCGGCCGGGCAAGTGGTCCCCCCCCTTGTTCGTTTCCTATATTCTGGGGGCCCGAGGGGGGGCCTTCTCGGGCCTCGGGGCAGTCAGACTCAGGATGAGGAGCCGGTCCCGGGGGAGGGGTCCAGACCCATGGGGGTCGACGCTGTGAAATAATCGTCGTCGTCGTCGTCGTCGTCGTCGGAGGAGGAGGAGGAGGAGGAGGAGGAGGAGGTCTGGGTCTTGCCATCGCTCGGACGCCCCTCCCCCCGGCACTGTCTGTCGGCGGCGCGCCCGGGGCCGGGGAAGTGAGGCGGAGAAGGCCATCTCTGCAGGCGGCGGGGCTTCTCGGAGGGCCTCCCGCCTTCTGAAGGGTTCCTGGCGTCTTCGGGGGATCGGGAGCGGAAAAGAGGGGGGTGATGACTAGGGGGGGGTGGATTTCATGGCGCGGGCCATGATTTTTCCTCAGATCTCATGGCGCCTCTTCTTGTTTCATTACGTCCCAGGCCCCTCCGCTGGGCCGCGCACATGCCGCCGGTCATGATTTGCACCCCCCCCTCTTGGACACCCACCTCTTGGCCGCTCCCGAGGGGAGGCCCAGAAAGCTTCTCAGAAGGCCGGGGGACTTCAGAGCCTTCTGAGAAGGCCCGCCGCTTCTTCGGAAGCTGGAACATATACATTACCAGTGGCGGGGCTCTCTTTCAATCCCAGGACTTTTGCGGGTCGGGGGCGACGTCGGGGTGGTGTGGTGTATACTTTTTCCACGTTTTCGCAGGGAAACCGCGACAAATGTATACACCAGGACCCCATATACACCAGGATCCGCTTTCTGGTGAGGATCCGCTTTCTGGTGAGAAAGCTTCTCAGAAGGCCGGGGGACTTCCGAGCCTTCTGAGAAGGCCCGCCCCTTCTCGCTTCCCCCCCTCGCTTCGGATGCAACTCCTGGGAGGTCAAATTCTGATTTTGCCCTGGTCCGAAATCCGGCTTGATCCCGCTTGATCCGGCCTAATCCCGCTTGATCCCGCTTAGTCCGGCTCAATCCGAGGCCCACTCCGACGTAACAGCCCCCCAATGGGGCCTAATGGGGCCTAATCCTCTGTAGTCCTTCCGACGGAAACTTCCCAGCAGTTGCCTCCTAACCCGCTTCATCCGGCTTCATCCCGCTTAATCCCGCTTCATCCGGCTCAATCCGAGGCCCTTTCCGGCGCAACAGCCCCCCAACGGGGCCTAATGGGGCCTAATCCTCTTTAGTTCTTCCGACGGAAACGTCGGGGAGCCAAAATGAGGAAAACCCAAAAATTCACCAAAAATCGCAGAAAATCAATGATTTTTGCTTCTTGGGGCCTCCCAGCAGTTGCCTCCTAACCTCGCTCGCCGCCGAGCCTCGTGTCGAGCGGGCCTGGTTCTCGGGACGGCCCCAGTGAAGGGGCTCTGGAACACACAAACAAATACACACAGATAACCGGATCCCCTATATTTTCCTATCTTTTCTTTGCTTTTTCAGGAGGAAAAGAAACACACAGACACAATTAATCCTCGATTCCCCAGAAAATATGGGAAAATATCGGAAGCGGGGGGGAAGACAGAAACCTAGACAATATGGGAAAATACGGGGAATAGTTTTATTTGTGTGTATGTATTTGTGTGTCCTGGGGCCCCTTCACTTTTGTCTTCCCCCCACACACTTCCCATGTTTTCCCGTACTTTCGGGGAAATCGGCGATTCATTGTGTCTGTGTGTTCTCTTCCCCCCTGGCCCAGGCTTCCCCGGGGAGGGTCCGCGGCTGCTGGCGCTGGCCCCGCCGAGCAGAGAGCGCACCGTGCCCTGGCGGTGCCAAGGCCTCACCGGGCGGGCGAGGGTTCGGAGGTCCCCGGAGGGGCGGGGGTCGTGGAGCAACCTTTTTGGACGCCCGAAATGGGTACTCCAGATTTCGTAATAAAAGGGAGGGGGTCTGGACCCTCCAAGACAAGCCATTTCAGACCTCCCCCGTGGGAGAACCCTCCAAAAACATCGTCCCCAGATCCCCCAGGCCCTCCAAGATAGCCTGGAAGAGACCCCCCCGCGAAATGAGACCCCCCTCCCTTTGTTACGAAATCTACGAAAATATGGGGAATCCTATTATTTGTGTGTGTATCTATTTGCGTGTCCCCGGGCCCCTTCAAACACATGCGCGAAGACCGTGCTACCATTAAGTCGGGCCTGTCCCTCTACAGACCAGATCAGGGTCCCCGACCTATAAACCAAAGCCAGGCATGTCCCTCTATAGGAGGAATGTTCGAGTGGAGACATCGTCTGGGGACGCTTTTCGACTACTTTGATGATTTTTGTTTGAGTCTGTTTGGACTCTTTTTCATTTTCCCTCCCAAAGTCCGCCTGTAGGAGGACACGCCCGACCTAACCCTAGACCTCAGGAACGGCCCGAAAGCCAGAGTGGCAGGGTGGGCCGAGCTCAGATCCAAGAAGCCCACGTGGACCTCCGAAAACTTCCCCTGAGATCCTGGCGTTGCAATTTGTTCCAGCCTGGCGTTTTCATCTTTTTTCGGGCCCCTGGACCCTCACAGATCTATCTGGCTCGAGAAATCAGATAGGGCGATGGGGTCTAGGGCTCCGGGCGTGAATTTTTTACGATGTTGCAAGTTGTTCGCTACGTCGGATCTCCGGGTCTGGCGCTGCCGATATTTATTGTTCCAGTGGGTGCAGCGTGCAGGCTGCTAGGGAGGTGTGCTGCCTGGCGCTCCGACCGGCAACCCGCGCAGTGTCGTTGGTTGGCACCCCGTGCTTGCCCTAGGAGGTGCTGACAGTGATGCACACTCACACGCACACACTCACACACGCGCACACACAGACAGACACACACACACACACACACGCACGCACACGCACGCACGCACGCACGCACGCACGCACGCACGCACGCACGCACACACACACACACACACATACACACACACGCACACACACACACACACACGCACACACACACACACACACACACACACACGCGCACGCACGCACGCACGCACGCACGCACAAACACACACACACACACGCACACACACGCACACACGGTGCTCTGCTCCACCATTGCGCTGTCAGTTTGTGCGCACTCGGACGACGTGTCGGGCTTGCTGTCATTGAAAAAACGCAGCTTGACTAGAGAACGGCGCCAACGACGCATCCTCTGGCGTCCAAGAGCACGACAGCACTTACCGCGACCTGCATGCCCACCAGTCCTCTTTCGCATGCAGCTCCAGCACCTGATGTCGGCATGTTTCTTCACGGGCCTTCTGAGCGCTTGTCGCAGCAGTCTTCGGCGATTGCAACGCGCGAGAGCGACGGCTGCATGGCGCGACGGTCTCGACTCAATTGCATCTGTAGCCCAAGTCGAAGCTCTACACCCATCATCAGATGTCAGGTCAGTGGTGCCAGAGTCGTCCTGGCGCAAAGGCCAGACGTGCTCGCATGACTTCTGCATCCTCGCTCCTGACTGGGTGAGCACGCCCTCCCATCTCCCCTGCCCGGCCGGCCTCCGACCAGGGTCGTTGCTCACTCTCGTCCCCCCTGTCAGAAGGCGCTGTGCACGTGGCGGCACACTGCAGTAGATACCACGCCACCACAGACCCCAGACCCCCGGCGTCATTTTTTCGCAGCGTAGACCCCCCGAGGTCTGGACCCCTTCCCTGGAACCGGTTTTTCATCTTGAGTCGTTCTTCGATGGTCCCGAGGCCCGTCAGGGCCTCCCAAGGCCGAAAATAGCGAACAACTTCCCGTCGCGATTTTTTCCACAGCGCGAGGGGGTCTGGGGACGCAGAAAGGAGCGGACGAGGAGAGATTGGCACAGGCGCCTCCTCCATTCCTCCTCCACTCCTCCTCCACTCCATTCCTCCGCCTCCATCTCCTCTTCCTCCTCCTCCTCCTCATCATCATCTGACCTCTCCTCCCCTGCCCCGTTTCACCCCTTGCACCGGCGCGGTCTTGAGGAGGGGCCTCAACCGCCAAACGCAACGCTTGGGGACCAGCAGGCTGCTTGGCCCACGGCGCGCGGAAATGATCTCTCTGCTAACTCTTCCTTGTTCCTCCCTTCTGCTCCTTCCCCCCTGTCCGTGTGTAGTTGGAATGCCCAAACCTTGTTCTGTTCCCATCACACCAGTAATCGGCGAAGTCAGTGTAAATATCAGTCCCTCTCCCTCCTCAAACGCCACTCTGTGGTGTGCATCCAGGCTTCTCACGGGAATGAAGCTGATGCGTGTCTTCTTGAACGCGACCTCGGTGTGACTGTCCATGGATCGCTCATGGGCAATGAGAATGCAGGAGGGATCCTGATTGTGGTTAAGGAGGCTCTTCGGTCTCTCTTCACGTCTTGCACGTTCGTTGAAGTGAAGCCAGGCCGGGTAGGGGTGCTCACTCTTGCGAGCCCGGGGGCAGACGCTCCAGGTGGCGTGCGTGCACGGTGACCCTGACTGGACGGAGGCCTATACGAAGTCGGTCTTCTGGCGGATTCGTGGCCATCTTATTCCGTCACCTCCAGCTACTACCTCTATCGCGGGGGACTTCAAATTCCTCGAAAACGGAGACGCTCGGTAATATTATGCCCTTACGGGGCGTGAGACTTTTCAAACGTCACGGCTAGCGACGATTTTCGACCAGATCTTCCCTCTGTACTCAGAAGTTGACCAACCTCACCATACACATCGTGCTAACACTGATACCAATCCTAGCTACGCTCGTCTTGACAGGATATACACTAACCTTCCCTGTGCTGTTCTCTTCGATCGATTTCAACCCTGTCTCTTCCACGGCCTGGTCCATCACGAACGCCTCGAAGCCCTCTGACCACGCCCCCATCTTCCTCAGCCTCAGCGTCCCTACGAGCGAGGCCCCTGAGTATGTGGCGATTCCGTCCTGGATCTCCGGGCACAGCGTCTTTAAGAGCGTTTGCGAGGAAATGTTCAGGCTTGAGGATTTCTCCGAGGACCCGTTCCAGCGGCTCTTGGAAGCCAAGCAGGCTTTTCATTTCGCTGCCAAAAAGGTGAAGTGGCACATACTCCACGTGGGGCCCGAAAACCACGAAGGTAAAGTCCTCATATGCCTGCGCCTTCTTCGTGCAGCGCGCGCAGGTAAGCACCGCGCGTGCACCGCGTGTGTCGCCGCGTACCCCAAGCTCGCCGACTTCTTCTTGACAGATATTTGTGGGTGGCGTGACTGGTTGGGCCTTCGCCAGCACATAGCGACTATGCAGCGAGCGATCATGGACGCCAGGTCCCAGGCAGTGCTTCGCAACTCCGACCCCCCAGACGTGCAAGCAGCTAATCTGAGTCGGATTCGTCGGCTCGCCTCGGCCTGGAATGCCCTCCGTCCCAGAGTTTACCTCGCGGGGCTTCGCACTCCGGAGGGGATGACAACTTCGGACCCTGCTCTCAGGGCCAAAATGCTTGCACAGTATTGGGGAGGCGTTTTTCCGGCGGAGTCGGATGATCAGGTAAGCGAGGACTCCATCGGTTTTTTCCTGCAGCAGGTCACCCCGCTTGAGGACTCAGGCGACCAGTTCGTGACCACGACTCACCAGCGGATCGATTGGATTGCGAGCCAGGACCAGATGCTCAATCTCCTAGGCCGCACACAAGACACTGCCCCGGGGCCCGATGGCGTTCCCTACTCGGTTTGGCGCGATGCCCCTGATCTTGCCCACGGTTTTTTGCACGACGCATTCCAGTGCTTGGTGAAAGAGCATCGCGTGAGCAAGGAATTTAACTACTGCCGAGCTGGCTTCCCGCCGAAAGGGGATCTGGTCTCGGGGGGTGCAGAGGTTCGCAACCCCTGTCAAACTCGGATGCTGTCGCTCTCGAATGCTGACAACAAGATCTTCTCGTCGTTGCTCGCCATGCCGCTGAACTATGTTGCTGCTGACGTCGTCGTGCGGTGCCAACGGGGATTCGTGAAGGGCCGATCGATGCTCGATAACATCCTCGAAATGGACACTGCCTTGTTTTCCTGGCCCCACACTCTAGGCATAACTGACGCTGGGGGCTGCCTACTTGATTTTAAGAACGCTGTCCCCAGCGTCTTCCACAGATGGATTTTTGCGGTCCTACGGAAGATGAATGTGCCAGAGGCCGTAGTGGGAGCGATCTTCACGCTTTACGTTGGGGTCTGGACTTATATTGGAGTTGGCAACTCGTTTCCTGCAGGTTTCTGGGCCCTGCGGGGGATGAAGCAGGGGTGCCCGCTTTCTGGAGTGCTGTTTGCTTTGATCCTGAACCCTATCCTGAAGGCCACGCTCGTCCAGAAAAGCTACCACGATTTAGTACTCTGTGCATTTGCTGATGATGTTGGTCTGGTAGCACGCAATATCTTCGTGGTGCTCCCGATTGTCGTGCGATTGTTACAGCGTGCAGCTGCTGCCACGGGGTTGGCGCTGAACTTCGCCAAGTGCGTCATCATTATCCCTCGCCGGCTAGTGGAAGAGGAGCTGCGTGAACAGTTTCGCGCCCACGGTCTTGAGGTCACGGACTTTGGAATCTCGGAGTGTGGCAAGTACCTTGGTGTGTATCTGGGCCTGGGTGGTAGCCGGAAGTCGTGGTCGTCCCCTCTGGCAAAACTGAAAGAAAGAACTCACATGGTCAAAAGCTTGGGTTTGAGTTTTGTTCACTCTGTGGTTGCCTGGAATCGGTATGCCCTCCCAGTCATCAACCACGTCGCCCAGATCTTCGAGCCCCCGAGAGAAGTCAGAGCAGTCGTCCGTGAATGTCACCAGCTACTCACACGAGCTCCCCGGCATTCGTTCCCCCCCATCGTGCTTAACAACCTCGCCAGTCTCCACTTTCCTGTCCACCTCCGTGACCTGGCCCTGGCGGCGCGGAGCGCCCAGATGCGGGCAGCCCTGTTATCGCCGGCACTTGACAGATGTGCTGGAGAGCATCGCACAGCCTGGGAGTCGGCAGAAGTATGCCTCACTGCGCTCGAAGTCCCTCATCATCCTGATTCTGCTCTAGATCAAATGCTTCGTGCTCGTGACTCGTTCCTCGCACTTCCTGGCAATCCCTCTGATGGTCCTCCTCGTTCCTTACAGTCGAAAATCTACAAGTTCCTTAGACACCGTGTTCCCCCACCTACTGGTCATCAACTTATCGGAGCTAGGCATAAGTATTGGTCTACTGACGTTACTCCTGAAGAGGTTGGGTGTTGTCTTCAGCGTTTAAGGCTCGTGAGTGCCCGCCTCCCCCCTTTTTTCCTGACCTCGCTGATTAAAGTTTTGTTCAACTGTTGGCCCACCACTCAGAGGTTTCGCCAGGGTCCAGGTGGATGTGTCTGGGGATGCATGGCCGTAGGAGGCGATTCTCTTTTACATTACTTTTGTTGCCCCCACACCCGTTCCCTGCTCTGCCCCCTCCTTCCTGCTCTCCCTCCTTCCTGGGGCCTGGGCCCTCTTACAGGAATCCTTCCAGATAGGTGGGTCGCCGATTCGACCGAATCGATTCTTTCGCATGCCGTGGCCACTGATCTCATGACCACAGCCTTTCACCACTGCAGGGCTGGAGGTCACAGGAGCTGCCGCCGTCTTCGAGCAGCCATAGCCGCCAGGCTGCGTGTGCCGGCCAGGCGAGCCCCTGCCATCGTGGGACTCTTCGGGGCCCTCCCCCCTCCTCCTCCTCCTCCTCTCGTTGCCCGGCCGGGTTAACGTCACCACATTGTGGCGCTCTTTCCAAAGCCCCCTTGAGGGGATGCGGATCATCTCACGGGCGTGCGGGACGTTTGGACGATTTCTTCCCTCTCCTCGCTGCTCTTGCCGCTGGTCCGCCTCACCCCTGCAGGGACTGGCGCTCCTCCGAACCCTCGCCGGAACCGCCCTGGCTCAAGCCGCGCGGCGGCTCCCCGCGGGGCCCGACCCTCGACAAGAGCGAGATGGGCGGCCCCCGGGCGGCGGTGGGCGTGTGAGGAGCGCCCCGGGAGGCGTCGGCGGCCTCCGGAGCGGCGACGGCGCGGCTCTCCCCTGAGATCCGACCTTGCAGGACGAAAAAATTGCAGCATCGCAGAAGAAATCGCGACACGATCCCAGACATGCGCTCGCGTCGTAAAGAGTGCATGGCGGGAGGCTTTGGACCGTTTTCGGCCTCGGGGGGCCCTCGCCGGGCCTCGGGGCCGTCAAAGGACGACGCAGGACGAAACGCCGGTCCCAGAGGAAGGGTCGGGACTTCCAGGGACCCCGTATTGGAAAATTCAGGACGTCGCATGTCTGGGATAGGAGGCTGCGGTGCACCGAGTTGGCTTTTTACGTGGCGCTCCCCTGGGCAGAGCTCTGGGCGGTGGCGCTCCTCACGCTTGCCGCTCTGAGCCAAACGGCTTTCTGCACGAACGAGATGGGCACGGAAAGAATGGGTACGATGCCCAACAGCAGCTCTTGTTCATTTTGAACAGGACTCGCTGTCCGCGCCGCCGCGGCCTGTGTCCATCTGAGACAGAAGGCCGCCTGCCCAACAACGGCCGCCGTTGGTTTGGGACAACATGTATTGTTGGGCATCGTACCCATTTTTTCCGTACCCATTTTGGGCGTCCAAAGGCTTGAGCCAAAACGGCTCGAGCCAAACGACCAGAGCCCCGGACCCCGTCTCCCTGCATCATTTTTCGAGCCGGATCGATCTACGAGGGCCCCGGGCACGAAAGAGGAGCGAAGGCGCCTGGTGCGCAGAAAATGGCATAGCCAGGATCTCAGGGTCCGTGTGCGCCGGGGCCGTGGTTCCGCGGCCATGGAGGCACTGATCATCAAGATCTTCAAGCAGAAGCTGGGGGAGTTTGCGAAGGTGGTCACGTTGCATCTTCGGGGGACCTCGCCTGTCCCCCAAATTCGTGTGTTTCTCTCGTGCTCAACGGGTGGACGCAGTCGAAGAAGAACAAACGCCAGAAACACAAACTTTTGGCGCTTCGCGCGGATGTCTTGGATCCGCGTTGGGCCCCCGCGGTGGCGCCTCCGGCGCCGCTCCTGGCGCGCTCCGCGCGCCAGGGGGCCCAGCGCAGATCCAAGAAATCCCCGCCGAGCGCCAGTCGGGGAGTTTGCGAAGGTGATTACGTTACATCTTCGGAGGACTTCGCCTGTCCCCCAAGTTGGTGTTTTTTTCTCGTGCTCAGCGCGGGCTCGATGCTGACTCGACGCGGATTTGGCGTGGATTCGACGCGGATTCGACACGGATTCGACGCGGATCCGACGAGTCCGACATGGATTCGACGCGAATAGGTCCGCGACGGGACAGACCAGGTCCCCCGAGGGTACCCATACAGCTACCCTTCGCCTGTTTTCCCCTTTTGGGGTCTCCTGGGAAGCCCTCGTCGCCACCGCTGGACTCGCCTCGAAATTCTGGTCAGAACGCACCCCGCGAAGGTGATCGTTTTCTTATGCACTGTTTTGCCGATCGGCGCGGGCCCTCGTACCCCCTCCTCCTCCCCCACCCCCCCTCCATGGAGTAGATCTTGGCTGTTTTTGGGGCCTGTTCCAAGCAGGTGGAGTCTTCTTCATAGGACGCACTGTTGCAAACAGTCGCATTAAGCAAAGGCCCGGGGCCAGACCTCCCCCCCCCTTCCGCCCGATGTCTAAATGCCGAATACGTAAACGCTCACAAGGTGGACCCAGACAACGTCAAGGCCGACCTGAGCAGTGGCGAGGTGAGCCTGCGGAAGGCGCAGCTGCGGGCGGAGGTGTTCGATCAGATCCACCTGCCGATCACCCTGCGAGGAGGCTACATCGACGAGATGTCCTTTAGGTTTGACGTCGGCATGTTCAGCTCGGGGGCCGCCAAGGTCGTGGTGAAGAATTGCTTCCTCGTGCTCGGTCCGCAGTCGTGCGATTGGAGCTGGGATTCGGTCTTCCAGTTCAAGAGCAAGCTCGTCGATCTCCTCATGAAGGTCTACACGCTGAAGCCTCTCAAAAAGAAGAAGCGGGTAACGGGAGGATGGTTCAAGGACATGCAGCAGGCCATGGCCGTGAACTTTGCACAGAAATTCCTCGGCCTGCTGGAGGTTCAGATCTCCAACATACACTTCAGATACGAGGACGCGGAGACGCAGAAGGTGCCCTTCGCCTGCGGCTTCAAGATAGGCAACGTGCAGGTGGCCTCGGACGCCCGGCAGAAGGACCACCAACGCTCCACGGGCCAGTGGAGCGGATCCAGCGCCGAGCTGCAGGCCAAAGTGGAGCAGGACCTCGTGTTCTTCTGCCAGCGGATCGCCACGCGACGAATATCGGCTTACTGGGACATCGGCAGACCCATTCGAATACAGGGCCCCACCGAAGGTGAGGAGGTGAAGAATATGTTCTGCCAGCTCAACCGGAGAGAGATATTCTCTACGTGCGTCGTCGAGAAGATTCTTTCTTCTTCATCTGCGCGCATTGCCGAGAAGAGAAAGAGCCTGGACGGTCCGGTTTTCAGAGAGCGCCTGGATTTCCACCAGTACTTGGTGTTCCCTTCTGGGCTCGACGCGCACGTCACAGTCAACAAGACCTGCGACACTACCCGCAAGCAGCTGGCCCCCCTGAAGGATGCGAACGTCATCGTGGAGCCCCTCGAGGTCGCCGTCGACTCCGAGCAGCTGCGCAGCATGAACGAGCTCCTGACCTCGGTGCGAAGATTCTCCACCAAAGACGTGAGATTCCGGACACGCCCGCAGGAGCCGATCAGCAAGTTTTAGGAAGGCTTTACGGCCAGTGCTGCCGACCCTACATGCTAGGAGGAGAGGCAGATGGAACGGGTGGGCGAGGAGGGGGAGGAGGAGGAGTAGGAGGAGGAGGATAGGGAGGAGGAGGAGAACGACGACGACGACGACGACGCTCGCGAGCCCTCGAGGGGACTTGTGGGTCGGGGGAATTTTACGGTAGGTTCTAGCGGCGTTGGCGCGCTGGCGACGCTGGCGAAGGTGTTCAAGGTTGGACTCTGCGACGCGGAAGCACCGACGGACACGGTAATGCCATTGGACCCGATTTGATCTAACCTTGAACGATCGGGGCGCGATCGACTCAAGGTTGAACGATCGACGCGGTGTCAAAGACTTCTGCGCGCGCCGCCGCCACACGTTGCCTACCACAGCCCGCAGGAGCCGATCAGCAAGTACCTGGCCCAGGACCTGCCGCTGGCGCCGGAACTGAGCGCCAGCACGGCCGTGGTGAGGGAGAGCCTCGAGGCTCATGATGTTCCAACCTACTTTAGCCTTGATCGCCAGGAAGAATTTCGAGCACCAAGAAAGTACCGAAGCTGGATGGTTTTCACGCGTCTGGTCCCTGGGAGGCGATGCTCGCTCAACACTGTTTCGATACTTTCTTTTCGGAGGGGCCGAAATTATTTCTGGGATGTGGTCCTCAAGTGGTCCAGTCCAGTCCTCCTCCTCCTCGTCCTCCTGCTGCTCCTCCCTCTCCTCCTCCTCCTCCTCCTCCTCCCCCTCCTCCTCCTCCTCCTCCTCCTCCTCCTCCTCCTTCTCCTCCACCTCCTCCTCCTCCTCCTCCTCCTCCTCCTCCTCCTCCTAGTAGTAGGATGGGAGCCAACCTAACTCGAGGCGGGCGAGCGGCCGTCCACGGGCAGCACGGGCGGCCGCGCCTGGGGCCTGGGCCGAGTGCAGCCGCGCGGGGGCGATGCGCCCCAGCGCACGGAGAGCCAGCAGCACGCGCAGGTCGCGGGCAGCGTAGGGGTGGGTATGATATATATATATATATATATATATATATGTATGTATATGTATGTGTGTATGTGTGTATGTCTGTGTTATATATATATATATATATATGTACACAGATCGATCGAATTGTATGTATACTCATCTTTTTCACCACCACCACCATAAGTTGGAGGGGGAGGGGGTCCTCCACATCCTCTTCCTCCTCCTCCTCCTCCTCCACCTCCTCCTCCTCCTCTTCGGCCTGCTCCTCCTCGTCTTCGTCCTCCTCCTCCTTCCCCTCTTCAACTTATGGTGGTGGTGGTGGAAGACAGGCCCGTCAGGATAGGCATAGGGGGGGATGCATCGACCCCCGATCGCCCACTCATCGCCGATGGGGGCCCAGGAGCCCCGACCCGCCCAGGAACGTGGGGCCTATCGCCGATCTATCGGCGACGTATCGCCGATCCCAGGTCGATGCTTCCCCCCCTGTGCCTATCCCCCCTCCCTTATGCCTATCCCCCTATGCCTGTCCCCCCCCCTTATGCTTCCCCCCCCCCTATGCCTATCCCCCCCTATGCCTCCGATGCTTCCCCCCTTATGCCTATCCCCCCCCTATCGTTGCCCCTCGGCAGGCGCGGAAGCAGCTCGTGCGCCAGTGGTGGTTCCACGCCTTCAACGCCGTGCGGCTGACGTGCAAGATCCCGCGGTCCTCCATGACGGCGGAGGAGCTCGGGGCTCATTCCGATTCCCCCGATGCGGTTCGATTCGATGTCGATGGCTTCCAGTTCCGATTCGATTCGGCTTGGGATGCCGATTTGGGCCCCGATTGCTCTCTGGACGCATACAAGCCTGCCGATTTCTGCCGATCCGATTCATGTCGATCGCCGATCCGAATTATCGATTTGATTCTGGGCTCTCCTGGAGGAGCTGAAACAGCGGTGCAGGCTCCGAGACTCCTTCGTCGAGCTCTGCATCGAGGAGGCGAAGCTGGTCGAGCGCCAGCAGAGTCCTGGAGCACCGGCGCCGCCCCTGACGAGCGCCGGGACGGGCGCGGAGCCCATCCTGGAGGACGTGACCGCGCGGCTCAGGCAGATGCAGATGTCCCTGCCTGTGCAGGAGATCATCTCTTGGAGGATGCTGGCGCGCCAGCGGAGGTACGACCGCGAGAACCCAGACGACGAGGGTGACGAGGACGAGGAGGAGAGAAAGGCGCTCGAAGAGTTGGAAAAGAGGGAGAAGATACCCAGCACCATGCAGGCGCGTGTGCACTTCAGGGGCTTCCAGGCCTACTTCCTCATAGTCGTCGGCGACAACTGGCAGAATGCGATGGCCAAGCGACTCGAGGAGAAAGCAGCCAAAAATCCGGGTGCTGCGGGGGGAAGGAGGAAGAGCCCTATGGTGTCGGCGCTGCTAAAGCAGCTGACTTCGCGCCAGCTCGTGATCAAGGGCGAGGTGCTGGACGTCAACGTCGAGGCCGTGCAGAAGGGCCGCGCCCGCCACCGTGTGGGCAGGTGGGCGGAGCTGCGCGTCGGCAGCGTCAGCGTGACCAACTGCAACGTCAAGGATCCGAATCACGCCACGCGGCACATTTTAAGCATCAGCCCCTTCGAGAAGAACAAGGGCGGCGCCCCCATTTGCGTCTTCGTGGGGGCCACGATGCTCGACCAGCAGGACGACGACTACGAGAGCAACGTCGTGCCCATCGTCTCCGTCCTGGAGCCCTGGGGCGGCGCCGCCAGCCACCTCCGCGAGGTCAGCGGAGCGGAGGAGGAGGAGACCCTGGAGAGGCTCGGCTTCCTGAGGGACACTTGCGTCAAGGAGGGGCCCGAATCAAGGATCTGCGTGAAGGAGGGCAAGGTTCTGACATGTGTCTTCGGCAGGTGCGGGCAGGTGCGCGCGCTGGACTACACCCCCTTCCGGCGGCGCATGATGAAGTTCCTGACGCGCGGCATGGGCGCCGGCACCACGGACCTCGTGCGGAGGCCCTCCCCGCTCGCGCTGGACCGGGAGCTGCTGGTGAAGCTGCAGCGGAGGGTGCAGCTCCTCGTTGGCAAGAGCATGTCTATGGGGATCGTGGAGGGCGTCGTGGACGGCGTCAAGGCGCGCATGGTGGACCACTACAACTCCCAGCACGTGCTCTGCAAGGAGGTGTCGCTGGCGCCCCTCCGGTGCAAGGCGCTCCAGAACGGGAACCCGCAGACGTCATCGTCACCGTCGTTACATAATCACAGCATCAGAACATAATCATCATCGCCACCACCATCGTCATCACCATAACATCATAGCACCATCATCGCCACCACCACCATCATCCTAATCCTCATCCTCCGCTTCCTCCTCCTCATCATCATCGTCATCATCAGCAGCATCATCAGCAGCAGCATCAGCTGCAGCATCAGCGTCTTCGTCGTCGTCAACGTCATCATCATCATCATCATCAGTAGCAGCAGCAGCATCATCATCGTCATCAGCATAATCATCATCAGCATCGTCGTCGGCATCATCATGATCATAATCGCCATTATCAGCAGCATCAGCATCAGCATCAGCATCAGCATCAGCATCGTCCCTCTGACGCCAGGCGCTGCACAACGGGAACCCGCAGACCTTCCACATGCAGCTCCACCAGCTGCTCAAGTCGGGGGACGGCGAGGCGCCGGCCTCGCTGGGCTCGCTCGGCAGCAGGTTCGGGCTGCTGCCCTGGAAGGTGGCCATGCTGCTCCTGCCCAAGGCGGACTTTGTGATGGGCGTGGAGGTGGCCGACCAAGGGTTCTCGAGGAGCAGACACGGCCGGGCCTTCGCGTCTGTTGACCGCTCGCGCGCATCCTGGGGGAGGGCACCCTCGGGCGTTCCTCGCTCTGGCCGGCGGAGGGCCTCCTGTTCCTGAGGGGCGCTGCTTTGTCCTGGGCCCAGACGTAACTGCACAGACCTGGTTCGGAGCTTTTTTCGGAGCTCCACGCCGACTTCTCGGATATCGGCGCTGGACCCCCGGCGGCGCCTCTCCGGCGCCGGACCCCTGGCGCGCGGGGCACGCCAGGGAGGGGGGCCTAGCGCAGACAGCGCAGATCCCCCCAAAGCCGCGCGGACCTCCAAAAGTCTGCTTCTGCAGTTGCCTGTCCCTCTAGGTTCAGGAGAAGCTTGCTGCCCGATCCCGACCAGAAGGGCCCCCTCGGCCGCCCGGTCAGCCAGTCCACCTCAGACTCGCAGGCGGTAAACATTTCCAGTGGCGACCCGGTCCAGGCGGTCAACGTGGGGGCCATGTTCACCAAGTGGTGCAAGAACGGGAAGTTCCAGAAGCGTTTCGTCGTCTTCGTCGAGGAGTACGACGTCATTATCTGGAAGAAGAGCGCTTCAGACTCCAAGATCACTGGGGTGTTGCCACTGGCCTCCGTGCAGGACATATGCATAGGCCCAACGCTGCAGACGCCCGTGCTGCAGAAGGCCAGGGCTCATCCAAAGATGAGGCCCGACCGGCTGCTCTCCGTGATCGCCAACGACCGCACGTTGGACCTACAGGCGGACACGGCTGAGATACAGCAGCGCTGGCTCCAAGGCCTCAAAGAGAGGTTCAAGATGCACGTGCAGAACCACATCCAGATCGAGGAAGACGCCATCACCGCGCTGCCGAAGCACCTGGTGAAGAAGCAGAAGAAGTATCCGGAGAAGTTCAGGAGCGACCGCTGTGCCCTCAGGAGCTCCTACAGAATGGTCCAGGCCAATGCCGCCCTGGGCAGACTGCTGACCCGCGGCAGCGAGGCAGGGTCCTCCCTGCCGGGAGACCCTGACGAGCAGGACGCGAGGAACAGAACGTTGCATGCACATCAACTCCAGGAAGGGAACAAACACACACAGACACACAAAGAATCGCCGATTCCCCAGAAGATCTAGGAAGATATGGGAAGTGGGGGGGAAAACAAAAACCCCAGAAAAGATTGGGAAATGCGGGGAATCCTATGTTTTATATATGTATTTATTTGGATGCCCGAGGGCACCTTCACAACTTCCGGAGCTCCGCGCGGCTTTCCCAGATCGGTGTTGGGGGCCCCCTGACTCACCACCCACCAAACCACACCAACCCAACCCGAAGGCCCAAATTTATCCTCGATTTCCAGTGGGGGGGGGTCGGGGAACGTTGAAAAAACACATGGTATCCGTACCCCCCCCCAACCCGAAATTCGGGTCAAATTCAGGTCTTCGGGTTGGGTTGGGGTGGTCTGGTAGGTAGTCACTGACGGCGCCTCCGGTCCCGCCCCTGGCGCGCTCTGCGCGCCAGGGGGGGGGCCCAGCGCCGATCCAAGAAATCCGCGCGGAGCTCCGAAAGCTGATGTTCCCAAATCGGCGACGTCTTCATTATTCAATGCGGGCTCCCGTGGAGTCCCGACCCGTTCCGCAGGGCCGGTTTTTTTCATCCGGGGTCGTTGTCTGACAGTTCCCGGGGTTGGGCGGGGGCCCCCCGAGGCCGAATACTGCCAAAAACGTACCGCCGTCATTTTTGTCGAGACGTAAAGACGCATGGGTTCATGCCTTTTTGGGGTTCCTCCAGGACGCTGGCCCTCCTGGAAAGGAGCCCGGATCGGCCTCCGGACGGCCCGTCACCGCTGAGGCCAGCTTCACCGAGTCGCTGTGACCTTGCCGCTAGGCAGCATCGGTGGCCACGTGTGAACTCCACCCCACCGCCCACGATTTCGAAGGGGGGGGGTCACTTCCTTCGGGAGCTCCCGAGCGGAGTGCACCCCCCCCCGCAGAAATCGTGTGTGGGGTGAGTATCGATTCACATGTGGCCATCTAAAGTACGGGCGGCCAGAGAGCGCCACGGCGACTCTGCGCCCGCCCGCTGCCATTTTCAGCCTCCGAAGTCTGTCGGGCGCGATGCGCGAAAAGGACCGCAGACCCCTCCGCACCTTCCGCGCGGAAGGTGCCGCGAGGGCCTCCTTTGATTTGGAAGGGTCGGCCTGCTAACAAATGCTCGGCGCTTCGCGTGCCCCCACCATTCTATTCGGAGACCCTGCCCATGAGAGTTGACGGGGAACGGGACGAGGTGACACATGAAACGAAGTGGGAAGCCAGGGTCAACAGAGAGATCTCTAGGAGCATCTTGAGGAAGGCTCCTCCCTCGTGGCGCTCGGGGGCTCTCAGGACGTGAACGGGTGGGTGGGTCACGGCCACTCGGGGCGCGCGGACGAGGGGGCCAGAGGAGGAGGAGGAGGAGAAGGAGGAGGAGGAGGAGGAGGAGGAGGATGAGGAGGAGAGAGGAGAGGAGAGAGGTGGCGAGAGAGGAGAGGAGGAGGAGGAGGAGGGAGGAGGAGGAGGAGGGAGGAGGAGGAGGAGGAGGAGGGAGGAGGAGGAGGGAGGAGGAGGAGAGGAGGAGGAGGAGAGGAGGAGGAGGAGGAGGAGGAGGAGAGAGAGAAGAGAGAGGAGAGAGAGAGGAGAGAGAGGAGATAGGAGGAGTAGGGAGGAAGAGGAGGGGAGAGGAGGAGAGAGGGAGAGGAGGAAGGAGGAGGAGGAGGAGAGAGGAGGAGAGAGAGGAGGAGTAAGGAGGAGAGAGGAAGAGAGAGGAGGGAGGAGGAGGAGAGAGGGGAGGGAGGAGGAGGAGGAGGGAGGAGGAGGAGGAGAGGAGGAGAGGAGAGAGGAGGAGAGAGGAGGAGGAGAGGAGGAGAGAGGGAGAGAGGTGGAGAGAGAAGGAGGAGGGGAGGAGGAGGAGGAGGAGGAGAAAGGAGGAGATAGGAGGAGTAGGAGGAGAGAGGAGGGAGGAGGAGAGGGAGGGAGGAGGAGGAGAAGGAGGAGGAGTAAGGAGGAGAGAGGAGAGAGAGAGGGAGGAGGAGGAGGAGGAGGGAGGAGAGAGAGGAGGAGGAGGAGGAGGAGGAGGAGGAGGAGGAGAGGGAGGAGAGAGGTGGAGGAGGAGGAGGAGGGAGGAGGAGGAGGAGGAGGAGAGAGGAGGAGGAGAGAGGAGGAGAGAGGTGGAGAGAGAAGGAGGAGGAGGAGGAGAAGAAGAAGAAGAAGAGGACGGACCCTCTCGACATTCCCCGTGGGGTGCCCGCCTCTCGGAACCCGTGGCTCGGAATGCAGGGGGTCTTGCCCCTGTCAGCGGTTCCCTGCTTGGTCTTTCGGGTCCCTCGGAACCTGGCCTTCACAGCACAGGGGACATCAAAAAGGTACCCATTGTTCATCTCTGGTTCTTCGAAAGTTCTTTGATTTTTTGGGGGCCAGGATCCTTTCATTTGCTATTATTATATTATATCCTGGTCCTCTTCCTGGCCACCAGGCGGCCAGGAACAATTAGAAACGAGCACACTTAGAACTGAGTAAGACATGAACGACGTGTACCGATACCGCCACTCCCAAGACCTCTCCTGGGATGCGCTCTGACCAGAATGTCGAGGCGAATCCTGCGGTGTCGACGAGGGCCTCCGAGGCCCGAAAAGAGGAAACCGGGCGAAGCGTAGAGGTAGGGGTACCTTTTCCTCCTCTGAAGTATTGCCCGTATATCGTTCTCATAGACTGCTCCACGCCGAAGCCAACAGGAAGAGAGGAGGAGGCGCAAGAGGAGGAGGAGGAGGAGGGAAACGACGAGAGGAGGAGGAGGGAAAGGAGGAGGAGGAGGAGGCCGAGGAGAAGAAGCTGGAGGAGGAGGAGGAGGCCGAGAGGAGGATGAGGAGGAGAAGAAGGGGTATGATAATAAGAATGATGATGATGATGATGATGATGATGATGATGATGATGATGATGATGATGATGATGATGATGATGATGATGATGATGATGATGATGATGATACTGATGATGATGATGCTGATGATGATGATGGTGGTGGTGGTGATGCTGATGCTCATGATGATGCTGATGATGATGATGATAGTGGTGGTGGTGATGATGATGATGATGGTGATGATGGTGGTGATGATGATGATGAGGATGAGGATGCGGATGAGGATGCGGATGAGGATGAGGATGAGGATGATGATGATGGTGATGGTGATGGTGATGGTGATGTGATGATGATGACGATGATGATGATGATGATGCTGATGATGATGATGATGCTGATGGTGATGGTGATGGTGATGGTGATGGTGATGATGATGATGATGATGATGAATGATATGATGCTGACGAGGAGGAGGATGATGAGAGGAGGAGGAGGAGGAGGAGAGGAGGAGGAGGAGGAGAGGGGAGGGGGAGGGGTTGGGGAGGAGGAGGAGAGGAGGAGGAGGAGGGGAGGAGGAAGAGGAGGAGAGGAGAGGAGCAGGAGGAGGAGGAGGAGGAGGGAGGAGGAGAAGGAGGAGGAGGCGGAGGAGGAGGAGGAAAGGAGGAGAGGAGGAGGAGAGAGGAGATAGAGAGAAGGAAGAGAGAGAGAGAGAGAGAGAAGAGGAGAGAGGAGAGAGGAGAGAGGAGAGGAGTAGGAGAGGAGAGGAGGAGGAGGAGGAGGAGGAGGAGGAGGAGGAGGAGGAGAGGGAGGAGGATGAGAGGAGGAGAGAGGAGAGAGGAGGAGAGAGGAGAGAGGAGAGAGGAGAGAGAAAGAGAGAGAGGAGAGAGGGAGAGAGGAGAGATGGAGCAGGAGCAGGAGGAGCAGGAGCAGGAGGAGGAGAGAGGAGGAGGAGGAGGAGGAGGAGGGGGGGGGGAGGAGGAGGAGGAGGAGGAGGAGGAGGAGGAGGAGGAGGAGGAGGAGGAGAGGAGGAGGTGGATGAGGAGGAGGAGGAGGATGGAGGAGGAAGGGAGGAGGAGGAGGAGGAGGAGGAGGAGGGAGGAGGAGGAGGAGAGGAGGAGGGGAAAAGAGGAGGGGAAAGAGGAGGAGGAGGAGGGGGGGAGAAAGAGGAAGGGGAGGAGGAGGAGGAGGAGGAGGAGGAGGAGAAAGAGCAGGAGGAGGTGGAGAAAGAGGAGGAGGAGGAGGAGGAGGCCTCCTTCCTCCTCTCGCCTCTGTCCTTTCGCCGCCCGCGCCCAGGGAAGCGGCCACCGCGTGAGGCCGCGGCCGGGCCAGCAGAGGGCCGCAACCGGCGGTCCCGTGCCCATATCGCCCATCGTGAGTTTCGGGCAGACGGCGACGCTCTAGGCCTCCTGGATGGGGTCGGAGTTGATGGGATCGGGGGATTGCGCCGCATCCCCGATGCATCGCCGATGCGGCTCGATGTGGAGCCCGATTTCCTTCACGTCGACGTGGCCGATGCATCGTCCACGACGATGCATCGCCTGCGTATCGCCGATGTATCGACAATGTGGCGCGATCTTCCGACCCTATCTACTCCGACCCCATCTAGGAGGCCTCTCGACGCTGAGGGGGCATTAGACGTGCGGGGTTCGAGGGTTTCGTCACTCGTCCTTCTTTGTTTTTCCCTTTTGTCCCTTCTTCGTTGTCCCTTACCCCTCCAGATCATGCATGGTGGAGTAGGACGGGGCTAGGACGAGGATAAATCCGTCCCAGAGCGTTCCGGAACGCTCTCAGAGCGTCCCGGAACCCTCTGAGAAGGCCGCGGCGCCCGATATGCCCTTCAGAGCCGATGGATCTCCGAGATTCTCGATTTATCCCCACCTTATTTTTACCCTCATCCTAGCTTCGTCTTCTGGAGGCCCCTTCTTAACCTGAACGCGATGCGATAAGCAGCGGTCTGCGCGCTTGGGTTCGGCCCCCCCCTACAGTCAAGACGCTGAAACACGAACCGTTTTGGGTCAGGAGGGAAAAAAAAACACAGACACAATTAATCGTCGACTCCCCAGAAAATATGGGGAAGTATGGGAAGTGGGGGGGAAGACAGAAACCCAGAAAATATGAGGAAATATGGGGAAACTTGTCATTTGTGTGTATTTATTTAATCGCTTCGCTCATTCCGCCGGCCCATACAGTCTCATGTCTGCCGTTTGCCCGAGGGCCTGGTGTCAATGCGGCGCTTTGGGGGTTATAAGCCTGTTGGATGTTCGTTGGGATACCGTGTGCTCGCGGCAGCGTTTTGGGGGCTTCCTGTGGCCGCTTGGGGGCCTCTTGGTGGCTTCTTCGGGGCCTTCTGAGGGGCTCTTGGGGGCCCATGGGGGCCTCTTGGGGACCTCTGGGGGCCTCCCGGGAGGCTCTTAGGACTGAGGGCTCGAAATGTTGTTTCGTGTTCCCCCTCTGGGGCCGTTCTTGGGGCCCTCTTGGGCCGTCTTGGGGGCGTCTTGGGCTGTCTTGGGGCGCTCTTGGGCCGTTTTGAAGCCCTCTTGGGAGCCTTTTGGGCCGTCTTGGAGCGATCTTTGGGGCCTCTTTGGTCGTCTTGGAGCGTCGGGAAGCGGAAAAGGCGAGAAAGCGAAAATCCTTCAAAAACCTGAGGGAAATTCATGAATTTTGCCTCTTGGGGACCTCTTGGCAGGGCTCTTGGAGGCTTCTTGGTGCGTCGGGGAGCCATCTTAGGCGTTTTGGAGCGATATTATGGCGTCTTGGAGCTCTGTTGGACCATATTGAGGGCCTCTTGGGGGTCTCTGAGCTCTTCTCGGGGCTCTTGGGAGGCCCTGAGGGCGGCGCCCAGGAGCAGAACCATCCCCGACAGGGAGTTGCCCAGGGACCTGGTCAGGGTACTTTTCGTCCGGGGACCCCCAGGGGCCGCCCCGCGCGCGCGAACTAGAAAATTGTTAAGCAGTTACCGGAGATCTGTGTGTCCCAGGGCCCCTTCATTGGGTTCGGCAGGAGCTCGTTGTTCCTTGGGTCGTTCCGTGATGGTTCCTCCAGCCCTCCCCGTGCACCCAGGCGCTGCCAGCGCCAAAAAGGGGCTTCGTTCTTTGTTTGTCGCCGCGCCGTTTTTCTCCGCGCTGGGAATCTGGCAGTCGTCCTCATCCGAGCTGCCCCTCGTTGCCCGTCCTCGCCCTCGGCCTCCTCCTGTGGGGGGGGGGGAGGCCGTGCGAGGGGTCGAGGGCCGCAGGAAGGTGGGCATGCAGGGGCCCTGGATGGCCGCCACCGCGGGCCCCCCAAGAAGGCGCGCTCGGAGGGCGCACATTTCTTCACCCTCCTCCTCCTCCTCCTCCTCCTCCTCCTCCTCCTTCCTCCTTCCTCCTCCTCCTCCTCCTTTACCTCCTTTACCTCCTCCTCCTCCTCCTCCTCCTCCTCCTCCTCCGCCTCCCTCCTCCTCCTCCTCCTCTCGTCATCCTCCTACCCCTCCTTTTACTACACCTTCCTCTTCTCCTCCACCTCCTCCACCACCCCTCGTCCTCCTCCTCCTCGCTCCTCCTCCTCCTCACTCCTACTCCTCCTCCTCCTCCCTCCTCCTCCTCCTCCTCCTCCTCTCCACCCCCCTCCCCCATTTCCTTCCTCCTCCTCCTCCTCCTTTCTTCGTCCTCCTACCTCCTCCTCTCCTCCTCCTCCTCCGCCTCCTCCTCCTCCTCCTCCTCCTCCTCCTCCTCACCTCTTCCCTCCCCCCTTCCTCCTCCTCCTCCTCCTCCTCCTCTCCCTCCTCCTCCTCCTCTCCTCCTCCCGTCACAGCTCCTCCTCTCCTCCTCCTCCTCATCTTCCTCCGCCTCCTCCTCCCTCTCATCCTCCTCCTCCTTATCCTCTTCCTCCTCCTCCTCCTCCTCCTTCTCCTCCTCTTCCTCCTCTTCCTCCTAGCCGTTCTGACCCAGTTTTCGGGACCTGGTGCCATTGACTCTTAGAAACGGCTGGGTGACAGCGGGCCGCTTGGCCTACGTTGCCCATCTTCATCACGGCGCCGTGATGCCCTCCAAGTCTACGGGCTGGACGATTACTCTTAAAGCAATCGCAAGCATTGCAAGCGATGCTGGGACGACCGCACCACCAGCACCTCCGACGTCGCTACGACCCCGCGCGGCGATGTTGCAGCCCTTCGGCGAGAAGCCGCAGGAGTGGCAGTTGGCCAGCGTCCTCAGCGTCTGCTGCAGCTTCCACCCCGTCCAACACCGCCGAGCTGGAGCAGATGCTGGCCTTGGCGGAGAAGGCGGGCAAGGCAGCCTTGGCGCCTTGGTGGCCCAGGCCAAACAGGAGCTGGCTAAGGCCCGCGAGGCTGCTGCCCCGCCCCCGCAGCGAGCCGACGCCGCCCACAAGGAGATCGTTCGGCTGGAAGGCGAGCTGTACCGCCAGCTCAAGGCTGGTCGAGGCTTGGACCAGAAGCTTGCGACCAAGCGAGAGCAGCTGGAGAACACTCACTGAGCTCGGCCGCCACGACGTTGAGTACAAGCAGGCAGTGGCCCAACTCCACGCCAGCATGGCGCCATGCCCGAAGGCGCCCAAGGTCACGGTCACGGACATCTTTGAGGGCCGACTCGCGGGTTTGGACGTTGATGACGACGGCCTGTTCGGGCTCGCCGAGCACGTCGACGTGGAGGAGCGAGACTTCCAGGAGGCTGCCACCCGCAAGGCGCCTCTGGCCACCACCATCAAGGATACCTGCCCCAGGCTGTTTGGCGAGCTCAAAGACAAGGCCACCAAGCCCAAGGCGGAGCAAGCGGAGCAGCAGGCACGCCTCCTCGGCAAGTGGCGTAGAGGCGACGCCGCCGCATCGGTTCATGAAGCTGCTCCTGAGCCAGCACGGCCTCGTGAAACTGGACCTCCCGCCGCCGCAGATGTCGCGGGAGCTCGCGCTGCACCTGGCGCTCAAGGTCCCGCCCATGATCCTCGTGAGGGCGTCGCCACGCCTGCGCCTAGTTCGCCTCGCGCCCCAGCGCCTGCCAGCCCTGAGGGCTCAGGCGAAGCCGCGCCCAAGTCTCCGCCGGAGGCTGCCCCGCTTGCCGATCCCGCCAACGTGCGCGACCAGGCCCGTCAGGCCGCGCAGCGCGCAGCGAGTTCGGCGGATGGGGCCCCTGGGGGCAAGCCAGCACGCGGGTAACCTGTCTGCGGTGACGAACTCCTCCCCCTTACCCCATGATCCAACCTTCCTGCCCGATTTTGGATGCCTCACGCACGTCGTCCGCGCGTCGCACTGTGGGGAACCAGTGGGAATCTCTGAGCTTGGAGTTCGTTGCCGCAAACTGCACTTCACGGTCATCGGTGGAGCTGTTCCTGTCCACCGCCACAACCCACGCGGTGATGCGCCAGGAGCACGAGCTCACCAGCGACGAGGACACACGTGAAGCACAGGCTTGGTGTCTTCTAAACGGTTGGAAGTCATATTTTAAACAAGGTACCATGGGGCCCAACGGAGGAGCCCCAGCTGGCGCAGTCGTGCCCGCCCGTTCTTTCTGGGAATTCACGCCCCCGATGTTGGCGCCCAGCTCCAGGCGGGCCGCGCTGCTGGAGTTTCGATTTGCCTTCTGGGGCAAAATTCGTTTTATGTCGGGTCGGTGTGCTATCAGGATTGCGTTGGGCTGAACGATTTCAATCAGGACCTCTTGGCGTCAGTGGTCTCCAGTGTGGAAAGCATTCCGGTCCCGCGCATAATAGGTGGAGATTCCATTCTGGAGCTCCCGACCGCGTCTGCGCCGCATGTGCACGCGGGCTTGGGGCCCCAGATATTGTTTCCAGCTTGTATATTGGGCACCTGCCGCTCGACTGCAGGAGCCCAGATGTGCGACTCCTTCTTGGGCGAGGCCAGGATGGCGCAGGCAGTTGTTCGGGTCGAGGTTGCCGGCGGCTCGGGGCCGGCCACTCGCGACCCTGTTTCTGTCTCCCTCCACCCCCAGGTTTCACATTTAATTGCCTTGAGTTTCAGGGGCCCTCCGCCGCCCCCCTCCACTCGGCGCGGCGGAGAGGGCCCTTCAGGTGGCCAGTAGAGGAGGCGGAGATCGCACCCAGTTCAACCTCGACGTCCCTTATCGCGAGTGGTCTGTCCTGGCGGAGCGAGAGTTGGCCAGGGCGTTTCAAGTCCCCGTCCTCTTCGCTGGTAGCTGCGGCAGGCAAGCTCAGATCCACTGGGTTAACATGGTTGTGGATCCTCGCGCGGCGCTGGAGTTGCCTTCGGAATCGCGTCTGAGAACGCCGCTGGCGGCGAGACCGCCAGCATCTTCAAGGCTTCGCCTGGCCCGGAAGGTCGGTGGCGCCAGCATTCGCAATGCG